TCCAGGGCAGACTCATATGGTTCCTCGCTATCCGAGTCCATCAGCAGCTCACCGGATCCTGCTGGGCCACAATAGAAGAGCTAATGTGGTTATGCCTTTTTTAAAATGAATTGATTATGTTGTGGACTTGGGTGTTTGAAGCAGTTATTTACAGATGTAGAACATAGAATAACAGAGTTGGGTTATGGAAATCCAGTCTCTTCTTGAAAACTTCCAGTGACAGCGCACCCACAACTTCTGAAGGCAAGCTGTTCCACGGGTTGATGGGTCCCACTGTTAGAAAATTTCTTCTTAGTTCTAGGTTACTTTTCTCCTTGATGCTCGGTCATCTTTGTGACTATCATATATCCCCTAGTTCTTCTTTTCATAAATAAAACATATCTAATTCCTGCAACCATTCTTCATATGTTATGTTATATTCAATATTATGCAAACACAAGAGGTAGAACAAAGTCAAACTAGAGTCTTGGACTTTAAGAGAGCTAATTTCAATAAACTAGAAAGAGCTCAGCTGCCGAGTCTTCCAGTAGCGGCCGCATTAGGAGTGTGCTCTATGGTTGTGGGCCAGCTGCCAGAGAGTCTTCCAGACAGAGAGTCTTCCAGCAGCCAGCCCACAACCATAGAGCACACTCCTAAAGTGGCCGCTGCTGGAAGACTCAGCAGCCGAGTTTTGGAGTTTGGAAGCCAGAGAAGAAGTTCTTCGCAGAGCGCGGCAGCGGTGGCTGCAGGGAGAGCTGGGTCAGGGCATGGTGAGGCTGGGAGGCATGCTTGCTGGGGGCAGAACAGGCGCTCGCGCAACCCCTCTCCATCCAGGCAGAGCTTCATGCACTGACCTAGGGGGTATCCCTAATGTGCCAAGCCGTGAAGCTGGGGCATGGGCAGAGAGCCACGTGGCTTGGCGCCTTTGAGATACCCCCTAGGTCAGTGAATGGTGCTCTGCCCAGTTGGAGGGGGGGTTTGCTGGGCGCTGCTCATGAGCATGATCATCTCATGGCTGTTTTGCCCCTGAGGCTGTGCCCAGCTCTTCAGGAGCCTGCTCGCAAGGGAGCAGCCACCCAGCAACTCCCCCCTCCATCCAGGCAGAATGCCACTCCCCAACCTAGCGGTATCCCAAAGGCAGCAAGCAACGTGAGTGCCTTCCCCCGGCTCCCGCAGCTTGGCACCTTCGGAATACTGCTAGGTAGGTGAGCGGTGCTCTGCCTGGCCAGAAGGGGTGTTGTCCATGGGGCTTATTTTCAGGGGTGGGCTTATATTTTTGCCAACGTGAAAAATGTAGCAAGGCGTTAGTCTCAGGACAGGTAATACTTTCGGGGATAGACGGTAGTTCCCATGGTTTTTGCCTAATTAAAGAATGAATTCTTTCCTTCCCTCCTTCAACCAGGTCACATTGTCCAATAAGGTGTTCTGGTGCCACTGTGGCAACTCCTTCAGGCCCTTGTTAAACATTTGTTGAGATTACCTTGGTTCCCACAGGATGATTTCTTGTTGCTGTCTAGGCTGGCATTCCAAACTCTCCCCCCCCCCCAAAGTGTCTGTAGCAAGCTGAAAAATGAAAAGATCGCTGCAACAGCAGGGCACATTTTGAAGTTTGACAGGGAGCCTGAAAACAGACTTTGGTGACAGGTCCATTTTTCTGAAGTGTTTTGCATCCTAAAGTAAGAATTGCTTCAACTTCCTTCTCTTTAAAAAAAGTGTTAAAATCTTATGATTCTTGAACTGATGCTGGATTGGTATGCCAGTTTTGATGCAGAACTATTTTTACTGGATTGTTTCATTACAATTGTGAACTGCATTGGGTCTCTTGGTGAAAGTGGGTGATCTATAACTGAATGCACCTGTGCATGAATAAATGAATACATTGTCTATAAATATGGTGAATTGTACTATTAAAATTAATATGTTTGTACCCTAATTCATTATGCACTTTATGGATGTCCCTATTTATGGATACAATTATCATTTGTAGTTTTCTCTCACATGCAATGTTCCTAAAAATAACTTTACAAATACATCCAAAATTTTAAACATCAAACTCTGGCACACTTTTTTCTATGTCTATCCAAATGTCTTGCTTTCTAACCTAGAATAAAGGTTAAATGCCTGATTTTCTTTAACATTTTCCTGATCCAAATGTTTTAAAGAAAGTGGTCCCAATGATCATGCATTGTTTCATATACACATTGCTCAAGAATTTTACTCAAGTCTATTTTGGTAGAGCTTATTAATATGTTCCTCTAGAAATAATTTGAGAGGAGAAGTGTTGCTATATATTTAATTATAACAATGTTGAATATTAGCAAAAAAATGCATAGACAAGCAATCTACGATTATGGTGGCCCTGCAGGAAATGATACTACTTCAGTGGCCTTGCGCCTTTATTGTACTTAAGAGTTTTAGAAACAAGAAAACATATTGGCAGAAACATATTTGACAGTTGCACATTTTGCTATTGACTGACCCAATGAAATTCTGTTGCTTTGTTCAATAGTATTTTGACTTCTAATGCCTTTATTTTTCACAACAGCATAATCACAGGGGAAGATAAATTTGAATTTTGGACCTTCCTTTTGTAATAAACTCAGTGAGCAATCTTAGGTCTAATGTTCCCTCTTCTGCAATGTTGTATTGTGATTTTAATATGTGAAACAAATTAATAAATCTGCTTTAGATTCTAAGAAGCCCAACATAAATAAATCAGGTTGCATCACTGTATTATTCTCAAAAGTTTTCATTGTTACCATGTTTGCCCAAAAATACGACAGGGTCTTATTTTCTTTTTACCTACAAAGTATGGCTTGGGCTTTATTATGGGGGGAAAGTTTATTGTTTTGGGGTTGCTGGGAGGCTGCTCTCTTGCAAGCGGGCTCCCAAAGAGCCGGGCACAGCCTCATGGGTGAATAGCTGTGTTGCGCTGTCACAGCAGCGCAACACAACAGCCATGAAGCGACCACGCTTGGCAAACCCCCTTTGCAGCCAGGCACAGTGTCATTCACTGACCTAGGTGTATTGCCAAGCCGCGTGAGCACCTGTTCTCCGCCGCTGGCTTCCACGGCTTGGCACCTTCCAAATGCCAGTGAATGGCACTCTACACAACTGGAGACGGGGGTTGCGCGAGCAGCTGTTCTGCTCTCGCTCAACCATCTCCCAGCCTCACGATGCATGGCCCAGTTCTCATTAAGGAGCCTGGGCATATCCACCGCCGCTGCCATCCCAGCCTGGCTTTTTCCGCCGCTTCCAGTCCAAGTCTTTCAGCAGTGGCTGCTCTGGGCGCACGCTCTATGGCTGTGGGCCAGCTGCCTGCAGAGTGTACAACCATAGAATGTGCACCCAGAGCATCCACTATCGAAAGGTTCAGGTTGGAAGCCGTGGAAAAAGCCAGGCTGGGATGGTGGCGGCGGAGGTGCCCTGGCTCCGTAATGAGAACTGGGCCATGCATCGTGAGGCTGGGAGGTGATTGAGCAAGAGCGGAACAGCCGCTCATGCAACCCCCCTCTCCAGCCTCACAGAGTGCCATTCACTGGCATTTGGAAGGCGGCAAGCCGCGGGAGCCGGGCAGCGGAGAATAGGGGCTCACGTGGCTTGGCAATACCCCTAGGTCAGTGAATGGCATTGTGCCCGGCTGCAAAGGGGGTTTTCCGGGTGGCTGCTCATGAGCGTGGTCGCTTCATGGCTGTTGTGTTGCGCTGCTGCGACAGCGCAACACAGCCATTCTCCCATGAGGTTGTGCCTGGTTCTTTGGGAGTCTGCTCGTAAGAAAGCAGCCGCCTGGCAACTCCCCTCTTCAGCTGGGCACAGCGCTGCTCACCAACCTAGCGGTATCCCGAAGGCACCAAGGAACGTGATCACCTTTTCCTTCCCCCAGGTTTCCGCGGCTTGGCACCTTTGGGATACTGCTAGGTTGGTGAGTGGCGCTCTGCCTGGCTGGAGGTGGGGGGTTTCCAAGGGGCTTATATGTGGGGGGGGCTTATATTTTGCCCACCAGAAAAATGTGACATGGTTGTATTATGAGGACATGTTGTATTTTTGGGGAAACATGGTATTATTAAATGTATATGCTTCTAACATGTGTTTAATGTCTCAAAAACATATTTGTGCTTCCTTGCAGTTGCCCCAACAATTCATGAAATAAAATCCAGTGGAGTGACTCTTGGAGGCACTGGATTCATAAGATGTGAAAGTGCAGGAGTTCCTTCCCCATCTTTTGAATGGTATAA